GTGTCAAAATCAGTGCGTTTGTGTGCGCTGTGTATTATTTGTGCGAGAGTTCTTCAATAGTAACAGTCCACTGGCAGGTATTCGTGTGGGGGCTGACTGCAGTGGGTGTGTTTTTTTTTTTTTAATCAAAGAAATGCATGCTAAGCTGGAGAAAGAAATTAATTTCCTCTGTTTGGATTTCCTGGGCACACAGTAGCTCAAATTTGGTCCAAGCTTATTTAATGTTAATAGAAACAACTGACAAGTCGTGTGTGTAGAAAGACGGGAGGAGGGTTCGGGTATGTTTAATGGAAGAGTCATTAAAGGAAAGGTTTTTGATTTCACCACCTTTCCTTCATTCTCCTACACTCTAACATCTAACAGAAATATGGATGCAGGCACAGAAACACACTTTAAAGCTACACTCATTACTTGTTCTGCTCGGCAAGAATCTACATCGATGTCAGTGTGTGTCCACGCTGTAATGCTTCTATAAATACATTACAAGATCCATGAGTGTGTGAGTCGGACTCCTGCAGTGTTGCGTAGAGGGTCAGTGCCTCTATGATTGATGAGCTGATGCAAATGACTCCTGTTCGAGACGTTTCTTCAGCCAAATCTAAAAGTGTGCAGGGCTACATCTAAACTAAACTTTTAAAACAACAACCATATCCGTCCGCATGAACAGTTTAGGTCTTTAAACACACTTGGCTTGTTAAACAGGAAGCAGATTGTCCACTATGCAGTTGCTTAGTTACAGAAAATACTATGAACAAGAAAAAACAATGGTGAAAAGTAAGATGAGGGATTCTACTTGTCTGAAAGCAAAGGTCAGACTCTACAACAGCAATGTCAGCCCTGTTATCCTTTATGGCTTGGAATGCTGGAGAATAGTTGAAGGTGACATGAACAAGATCAACGCCTTAAGCAATGGATGCCTCAGGAAAATATGTGTCTTCTGGAATAAAATGATCTCAAATAAAGAATTTACAAGAAGAGCCAGCATCTGGTTATCAGACATAGGGGTTGGGTGTATCCACAGAATAGACCAGAACCCCATACCAAAGACCACCTGGAAAAGGCGAACAAGGTCGGCCCAAAACAACATGGCGATGTACTATGAGGGCGGAGCTGCATGAGATGGGTCAGACATGGGGTGAGACCCAACACGAAGCCAAGGACGAGTCTAGGTGGAGGCAGATTGTTGATGCCTTATGCCCCTCAAGGGATAAAGAGGACCAACCAACCAACCAACCAGCCAGAGAGCCAGAGGGACACATTTTCCTGGACTGATGATGTTGCTGACAAGTGTTGACATGTTTTTGCATTCCCCGGTGGTAGTCGAGTCGTGACTGATAAGAACCAATCAGGAATCTGGATCATCATTTCCAAACATAGCCACAGAGAGTTTTCAAAATAAAATACTTTCTCCATTTAGAACAACATAGTGATGTGGACGTAGGCTAAGTTGAAGATGGAGTAAGGAAACAAAGAGGAGAGAAAACTGAACAGTTGTAAAGGATGGCACTTTACAAGGAGTGAAAACAAATGCAGCAATGAGATGAAATGATCTCCAGGATTCAGCTGTCGTAGTTGAAGTGTGAGCCTCCATGCACAGTTGATTTCCAGCACTAATCATGACTCCAGCCACTAGTTTCTCTTGATATAATAATATTTTGAAAGAGATTGGTGCTATTATTGTTCTAAGGAAGTTGTTGTATGATTACTGTGGCCTCCCTGAGAAGTCTCTGAAAACTTTTACTGAATGAAGGTGGGAAGAAAAATGAAGTGAGATCCAAATTGTGAGAGTAACTCTTCCTCTTTTCTCCCCCGTCATGTCTCTTTTAGTTAACAGATGAAATGGTGCAGCGAGAGGAGAGTGTGGGAGGGAAGCAGATTGTTAATTAGACGTTGAGACAGCGGCGTTTCCTGTCCTGAAACATAGTGAATTTAATCTCACAACAGGATGGAGTTAATTACTATGAGGGGGTTTCATCTGAGGAAGCGATGGACGCACTTAACGTCAAATTCATCATCACAGTTTTTGCAGAGGAGATAGGCAGAAGGAAGTGCACACACACACACACTCATGCTAATCTGTAGCATTTCAGCACATTGGTTGACACAAAAACATTTACACACACACACAAATATGGTTCCCTCCTACACACGTACACAAACAAGTCAGACATTTAAATACACCAAGGCATTAGGATTCAGTCCTATTCAATATCACATCGAAGCTTTGATAATCAGGTTATTAGAGATAAACAGAGAGCTCAGTGTGTCGCTGCCCTTGCAATTGCAGTGCCCGTAATGCAGTTACCCATTCAGACACAACCGTGCTGGAATGGTTCAATTATGTAATACGCTGGCTACTCCTGTGATCCAGAAACGGTTGAGGCCATTCTTTTATCTGAGATGAAGAAAGAGAATTTCTAACTGGTCTCTCGTCAGCATGCCCAGGGTGTGATGTGATGTTTCTAAATAACCAATTATCCGTTTTTCACACAATCTGCCAAATTGTGAGCCGGCAGATCACTGAGCAGTGATGTGGGTCCGTCTGTAATGGTTGGACATTGAGAACACTAAGAAGTGGACATAAGATGGGATTGGTTACTGACCCATATTGCTCCTTTTGTCCTCGCGGAACTGTTGGCTCCTTTTTGTGGGAATGTCCGGGGTTGTCTGCTCTGTGGACTGTTGCAGAATGAATAGGGGTACAACTTCCAATGGAGCTTGTAATGTGTCTCCTAAATGATGACTCTCACCTTTCCCTTAGAGGTAAAGCAAGATATATCTGGCCCTGTGGTTTTGGACCATTTTGGACATCTCTTACTAGAAACTATCATCAGCTAGTTTAAATGATAGGCAACTGAAGATGGGTTGAGGGAAGAAGCATGCATGAGGTGGGAGGAGGGTTGAGGAAGTATACAATATGTTTTAGCCAACTTGATGTTTCTGTAATTTACTGATCTTGCAAACAAAAGTTAATGATAAACAACCACTGCTTCCTGCAAGGCATTCTGAGAGTGATAAAAACAAAAAAAGAAAGAGAGAGAAGAGTGGAAGAAGTGAATGTTTCTCGTGACCAACCCTCAGAGCTTTATTTGTCCGCCGCGGAGCAAAGGTGCTCATCGATAACTAATTTTCACTTTTAACAAGCTGCGTTTTTGGCACCATCAAATACGAGAAGTGTTTCAGGAGCAGCAGGGAATTTGGCTGAGACCATTACAGTCAGACGTGTGTGTGTGTGTGTGGCTAAACGCCTCCACATAAACTCACAGACATAATTTGATATTGTCTTTATCTGGGATGTCTCTTCTCCTTTGGGACATTTATTGATGACGGGCGTGAGGCTATGAAACAAATGATGATTTAATCACTCTCCCACTGCTCAAGGACAATGTAGAGAATGCAAACATCAGCACTTGCGTACAAGTTTACACCGTATGCCATGTTTCCTCATCATCTGCCGTCCGTGTGCACATCTATAACAGTGCGTGTCAAGTTTGTGATTATCCTTGAGGAAGTGTTCTGAACTTCCAAGTGTCTTGTGTGTCAGGTGTCTGTGCAGATTTTACCACTTTGGTGATTATCCTTGAGAGGCTTTTAATTTGAGGCTAATGAGTATTTGTTTTAGCAGTCATGCACACTGCTGTGCGTGTCTGTGTGCTTGCGGAGGCTCGTGTGTGTGTCTGAGATTAAGGGGTGTGATATAGTGAAAGCGACAGACTGTACAGATGTTCAATAAATGGGCTGGAACAGGCAGGGAAAGAAAGGGGACATCATTCACACTCCCTGACACACACGTATATCAGAAAAATTACAAAGCAAACAGTCGTACACGCACATTAAACATGTGGGTACATGCTGTCGATCATATTTTGTGTACTGACAACACAGATGGGATTTATAACAAGACACAATCCTTCACACTTACACACACACACCTTTACACCTTGAGTTAAGCTAATGATCTAATAAAGAGCTAAATGTCAGTATACAGCTTAATTATAAATTCTGGATTAGGGCAAAACAGTGTGGGACAATATGTGTGTATGTGTGTTTCCATGTTTCCAGGGCTGAATGTGAATGTGCTCGAGAGAGAATAGAGAGAAAGAGAAGTACAGAGGGGAAGGAGGGAGTAGAAAGTATTAGAGAGAGAGAGAGAGAAAATAGGGGACAAAAAAAAAGGGAGATAATTCTAGAGAGAGGGAGAGAATAGTGGACACAATAGAGAGGGAGAGAATAGAGAGTACTAGAGAGGGAGATAGAGAGAGAGGGGGGAGTAGTGGACTGAAGTGGAGAGAGAGAGAGAGCAGCGAGTAGTAAAAAGAGATAAAGAGTGGGAGGGAGTAGTGGACAGAAGAGGAGAAAGAGATGAGAGCGGAGGGAGAGAGTCGTACACAGAAGTAGAGAGAGAAAGAGATAGAGAGAACAAGTTAAAAAACCTCCAGGTTTGTAGATGAAGTAACGTTGAACTGAGGATCTCTCCTGACTAACACTGAACACAGTGACGTGGTGTTTATTCATCGGTGTCGCCCTATCTGTCTTCCCTCCTTGTTTTCTCTCTTGAAGTCAACAGCTCCCTCCTCTAACATCACTCCTATGTTCCCTCGCTGTCTCTTTGTTCTTTTCAACTATTCTTTACTCCTCACTATGCATCCCCTCCGTTTCCCCTTTCTCCCTTTTTCATAATTTTCTTTGACTTCTTTTACCCTCCTATGTTCATCGGGACACCCTCAGCCAACTCTCCAACTCTATAAATCTGGGCTTTATAATATGTCTTTGGTGTCATGAATGTTTAATGCGGTGATTTATGATCCTAGTGTATTTAAAATATAGATTTTAAACCTCTTGCTGTGGTCTGTTGGTGTTCCCCAAAACAAACTTTGTCAGTACTTTTTCATATTTTGTCTGGGATTTCTTATCTTGGATATTTCAAGTGTCTATGCAGAATAATAATTTAAAAAAGCTAACTACGGACAATAACCAGATTCTGTCCCTCTCTGTTTCAGGTGGTGTGTGTATCGCCCAGTCCTTGAAGATCCCCAGGGAGCCCCGAACGGGAGAGTTTGACAAGATCATCAGACGCCTGCTGGAGACCTCCAACGCCAGGGCCATCATCATGTTCGCTAATGAGGACGACATACGGTGCGTGCATTTTAAATAAGTGCCCCAGTGCCACTGACCGCACTGTCTCTGCTGCTCCCAGTTTTACTTTGGCTCAGTGAAATCATGTGTGACATTTGTTTTCTTTTACTTTAATGATAATGACCATAAGTGACATTAGTGACAATAATAGTGATATAGCAATACCGTCACAGATGTTAAAGCACAGGTTTAATTGAGATATAATGGAAAAAGCAATTATTTAGAATTTGTCCTACAGCAAATAAGTCAGCTGCAGCTGTTGCATTAAATATTAATTCTCGCTTAATCAAGTGTTTCTCAATATTTTACTGTCTAATCATTTAGCCGCTGCTCTTCAGCCAATGTGACAGTTGCTGAGGAAGAGGAGGAGCTCACTCTTCCCTCAGGCAACCCCAAAACAACATTGTAGAGTCTGAGGCACCCAGCAGCCATCAACCCTTTTGCATTCAACTGTTTTTTTTAATCAAACAGACGAGTTCTGGATGCAGCTAAAAGGAACAACCAGACGGGCCACTTCCTGTGGGTGGGCTCAGACAGCTGGGGGTCCAAAATCTCTCCTGTGATTGGCCAGGAGAGAGTGTCCGAGGGCGCCATCACGATACTTCCCAAACGAGCTTCTGTGGACGGTAAGAGTGTGTAAAGATGATAAACACGTTCACTGATGCCATGTTACGATGTCACTCTGCAGATGTAAACATTTCCATCTGCATTGTAACTTGTACCAGGCTAAGATTAGGTCTGTGTATGTGTGTGTGCTCAAATTTGAACAGATGACATGAGGGGAAAAGTCCTGACACTGAAAGTGAAATACACTCATGTTCCCTCACTCCTGATCCCAGCGGGCAACACGTTTATGCCATTAGGCAGGTGAGGATATCCTCATGTGCTCCCTGTCAGTGCTCCCTATTAGGTAATTGACTCCTGGAGGGACACCAAGGCGAAAAGATATAAAGACAGAGGGGGAGAAGTTGAAATGAATCAAAGTCCTTGGCTGGCTGACATGAGGCAGCATGTTATTGGAGTCTCCAGAAGGAGATAGAGGTGCGAGGGAGGTGGAGGATTAATGAAGAGCGTACATGCCGAGTTACCAATTTATAAAGTGCACCTTGCCTTCTGATGAAATGTAATCCAATAATGCTGCAGCAGATCCTGTTTCTGTGAAGCTTAAAATGTTTTTGTTTGCAATGTCAGAGAGGCATGGATTCATGTGCTCTGTAGATATGATAAATGTTTCTAATACTTTGTCCTCCACATTTAAATTTCAATTTTTTATTATTGTAACTGTGCAAATCCCTACTAAGTTCTCCATTTCCTTGTTTGCTCATGAAGGCTACTATCAGTTCTGTTCATATTGTGCTTAAAATGTTGCACCAATACATAGGAGCAGTTTGACATGTTGGTTAATGCAGGAGTCTGGGGACTGTTAGATTAGCTTATGGGAAAAAGAAACAGCAAGTCTGGCTTTCTTTAGAAACAAGCTGAAGTCTTGTCATTTCTTTGAGGTTGCCAGGCAACCAGCAGGGGCTTCAAGAAGTCCTAGCAAAGAAAAAGTCACACACATGAATCCCTGTAAAATCACACCTTCTCATTTTCAAACTTTTCGGTCTTTGTGTGGAACTAGTGCAGCGCCTGTTCTGTTAGCTTGTGTTAATGCTCAGGAGCTACTTCAGTATTTTCATTAGTGAGTCCTCCTCAAACAGTTCTACAACATACTGTCACTTTTTATTGTTTGTGTGCTGGATGTTGTGTGCATAACTTTATTATAAACAGTCTGGTGCAGAGTGTTAGAAAACTTAATGTTCATCCTACCTGGTTAATCTGCGATGAAGATTCTATAGACAATGTTTTATTCAAATTTATGAATATTGTTACCACGACAGAGACCAACACCTGCTTCACACGTGAATGTCTTTGTCAGTCCGATATGTTGAAATGAAAATAATGAGATTATCAAAATGATCTGGTGGATATTATTGGCCACAGGCTGCCAGCCGCCGACCACAGCTGTTTATCTGAGGACGTAGAAGAAGACACGGTCAACTCAGTCCACCGATTGAAGGCACACCTCCCCGCCCCACTTACTGCTACAGAGTGCTGGTCGCTTGTTTTTCAATTTTTATTATCACTGAACATATCACATGTCCAAATCGCACCAAATTCATACCTGCACTTCCTTGAGACATTTTCAAGACACATGCCAAGTTTGGAGTCAATAAGATGAGTGGTTTGTGATATATACATGTTTGTGGGATTAGTCGGCTGATGAGCAGATGAGATAAACCATGCTCTTCAAAAGTTTGTACCTTTAAAAAGGGCCTTTATACTCAGCTAAGATAATCGTCCTATAAAATGTGTCACAGATGGTGGCATCAATCTTCTCACCCAACTTTTGCCAAGACAGCAAATAAACCTGTGTGCACCAAAATGTCAAGCTATTCCTTTAACCGCATAACCACAGTGCAGTTTTTGCCCCCGAGGCTCCGGTGTTCCCACCTAATCGTCCACTCTGTGCAGATCATTTTCTCATTAATGCGAGACACTTGCTTATGCTCTTATTTTTTATGAGCGTCACACCTGCGATCACAATGGGAAGCATTTGATCCTTGATGACACACACGCCACCACCCCTGTTCCCAGCAGTCTTAGCCATCAGTTGAGCTGCACAGGTGCACGCGGCGCCAATTTCCTTGACAGCAGAGGAGATTAATCAAGGCACTTCCTGTCGGCTTTTATAGCGAGTTAGGCTGTCCAAGTCCGTCTGATTGTCCCCTGTGATTTCCTGTTTCACATGCACCGTGTTCCCCCTGAACTCCAGTCCCAGCGATGTTTGCAATGAAACTTTTCATTTTAATAGCAAAGTAAATGCTTCCTTTAGCAGGACCACAGCCACAATAAATAACTCACAGTCGTGTTGAAGCAGCAAACACTGATGATGTTGAGGCAGGAATAAAGCAACGTGGCGACAGAAGACAACAGAAACTCTATTCCCAAAAAATGCTGATTAAAAAAAAACTAGTACAAGGTGTGTTTTTGTCTCCCTCTTTTTCTTTCCTTTCACCCATCTCTTCATCTTCTCCTGCCAGCTTCTGACGGGTACTTTTGGCCAGAGCAATGCATCCTTCGCTCGCCGTCGCCTCTCTCTGCTACTTATTAAATCGGACAAGTAGCTTACGTACTGTGAAAGCTCGGTTTAAAATGTTTGCTCTCGGCTGATAGGAGCTGCAGCGCCGCAAAAATGGCTTTTCAGTCATACCTCGGATCCATAGGCTATTCGTAATGCACGCCTTTGTGAGATAAAATGTTCCACAGCGCCTGAACACCTCATCTTTTAGTGCAGGCAGCCTCTGAAGAAAAGAAGGCTTTAACCTCTGCAGGGGAAGTGCACTCTGCATACTACACCATTAACCCTGTGTAATGTTAAAAACAATTATTATAGTCACAGTGATGATGAGTAAAACCTCTCAGTATTTACATTTTACCCCGTATGTCTTTTACAGCGTTTGACCGGTATTTCCGTAGCCGCTCGCTGTCCAACAACAGAAGAAATGTGTGGTTTGCTGAATTCTGGGAGGAAAACTTCAACTGTAAGCTGGGGATGCACGGCAAACGACCCGGCAGCCTGAAGAAATGCACAGGTAAGATGTTACAGATTGACCTCCTCTTCCATTTGGACTAGAGAAACTTAGAGTGGATGACAGCCAAAGTAGGCTGCATCTTCTTCCCGGATTTGGCAAACAACAACATGGAGTCTGTAATTAGGTGTTTTTTGTTTGGGTTGCTCAGTAGTACAGACACAAAAAGAGACAGAAGTGCTCCTTGTTAGAGTCGGGTCAGACAAGGTGTTTTAACTCCACGGATATTCAACAGGGGCTTGTAAATTTTACCTTCCAACAAATTTGGCAGGTGGTCAGTTATAATTGGTGGTTTCTCAGCCCTGCTTCACATCAAATAGACGCTTTCTTCTAGCTCAGTATCATTCTTCTCTTTTGATTCAAAACAAGGACTTGATGAGAATGCATCAATGAGTTTCCAGCTCAGGAAATCCCAGAGCTGTCTTGCTTTTTTCCCCACATCTCCCATATTTACACACAAGTGTAGTCTACCCCATAGACTGAATATAATGGTGGACAACACACCTCCATCTTCCTCTGTTGTACACAAACAAAGCTAAAAAGCTCTGGACACGGGGGACGCCATATTTTGCTTTTGACATCATTTGAGTCCGGAGTCTGCGCAGTTTCACAATATCAAGGTCCCACCCAAACACAAGCTCGGCCAATTACAAATCCTTCTCAGCTGTCAATCTTGATGTTTCACCCTGTTTTTATAGCATCAAATTATTTTATCTTTGCAAGAAGAATTACTTAAGGAAATCCTTGGTCATTGTGATATCTGCTAACGTAGAGAAGACGGGCTCTGAACTCCAGCCAGCCAACACGGGGCGATCAAGACAGTTTGGCTTTACTTTTGTCGTCCATCTTTGTATGCAGTCAATGCTTGCGGTGTCTCTGGGCTTTCACTGTTCCTCCGGCCAACAAATGTCTTTGCAGATTTAACACATCCCTGTGGATTGTCTGCAGCGTCATTGGCACATCCTGGCTGAGAAAATGTGTCAACAGGGAGAAGCACGGCGCTTTAATTAGTGTGTATATTATAGAGTGCACTGTTGCCTCTAATAGGTACCCTCAGAGCCCAGATCACAGTGGCTGTTAGGCTCCGAGGAGCAGTACAACTCAACAAGAACAATTGTTTGTGTACTCAAAGCTAAAAGAGAAATTAGATAATTGTTGGAGTGTGTGCTCGTGGATATTTGTAGTGAATATGTGTGTCTGCTGTAACTTTCTGTTGGTGTGTGTGTGTGTGTGTGTGTGTG